CTGCAGGGCTCTACTCCTCCGAGAACATCCAGACCTTAAACAGCGCGGTGGAGTCTAAGGCATCACCTGGGGCCCCGGAGCCTGCCAAGCCGTAAGTATCCTCCTCGCCTCCCCTCTTGTTCCCAGGGCAAGGCTCTGCAAGATGGGAGCTGGCTGCGAGGGGACCAGTTTTTTAACCCAGAGAAGCTCTCTTTCAGGAGAAGGGAAGGAGCAGAGGCGCGCGCGTGGCTGCGGTTCCCCGGGGCAGGGCTCGGAGGAGCGGGGAACGCTTCCCCAGAGGCAGAAATGGAATTAACGCTGTTGTGTTTCTTTGTTTAGCAGAGACCAACGCAGTTTCCGCGTGCGTTCAGCGTGACGTACCGGCCCGCTGGCGTGAGCAGGTGCCTGACCGCTTGTTACGAGCACTTTGTGAAGTTTGCGTTCCGTACAGTTAGCGTTTTCTGCTGGCTTCGCGGGCAGAAGGGGAGCAGCCAGCTTAGGAAGCGCATGCGTCCCTGTTTCTGGCTGGCCCGGGGTTCAGAGACAGGCTCTGCCTTCCGTTTTTTTTATTATTGAACCTAGTTTTTTCCGCAGGAGTTCTAAAACGTGGCAGAAACATTCATACCTGCGTGAGTGATTTTATAGAAGGGACTGGGGAGGGGCCCGACCTCAAAAGGGCCTGTTGGTTTCTGTGGCTGCACCCGAGCTTCACCAAAGACATTTTTTTCATCCCACAAGTCCAAAGTTCCTTTTTTTTTTTTCTTTTTATAGGAAGCAATAAACCGGGTGCTGGCTGAAACCTTTCTGGCTGTGTCAGTCAGGTTGCGTTGCTGCCCCAGTCTCCGTACAGCAGTACCGACCTGCCTGGGAGACTTTGGCCACTTCTACAGCAAAAGCTGCAAGGCCGTTTATTACCATAAACCGTTTATTGCCATATCAGCATGCTGTAGGTGCCACTCGGCTACATCCCTGCCTTGTGCATGGGGAGACCACAGCAGCTCCAGCCTGCGTGGTCGCAGGGCGCAGAGACCCGAGGCTGTGGTTTAGCTCCAGCCGGGCGACCTGGCCCCGGTGCTGGCAGCCCCGTCTGGGCAGAGCTGCGGTGCTGGCAGCCGGTCGTTCCTCATTTGCTTCTGGTAGACCTCAGCAGCCGTGTTCAGAGGCTGAGCAGAGCAAGGGCGAGGGAAATCTTGCTTTGTGTGAACCTGGTGGGACCACTTGGCAGCCAGATACCATCTCCGGTCCCCTCCGGGTGAGAGCACTCTCTGGAAGCCAGGTATATTTGTCTGGAAACGTGTGGGTTGTCCCTTTTTCTTGCAGGGATCAGCAAAGATGGGGGGGTTTCTTCTAGGGCTGTGGCTCCCTGTGCTCCTCCTCGCAGGAGAGCCCGTTGCCAGCCCCGCTGCTTGCAGGGTACCCGGCATCTCTCTCATCTTTGCTGAAACACAGCGAGTTGCAAAGGAATGATGGGGAGGGGGCTGTGAGGGGAGACCTTCGACGCAAACTCTTGTTTGCAGAGTCATCACAAGCAAATGAATTGCTGCTGGTTTTCGGTGAGAGCCAGGGGCCTCACCCTGCCGTTAAAAACCCGCTGTGGCCCCACGGCACAAGCCCGGGATGCTTAGGTTCTCCCTTCGCCCAGCCTTCCAGCCGCCTGTGAATTCCTGCCCATCTGTTGTGCCGAGTTATTTACACACGGCCGAGCTAGCTCGGGATTTCCCTGGCGTTCATCTGCATTCCCATCCTGCACCCAGCGGACAGGAGGACCTGGCCCGTGGCCCGTCCGTAGAGGGGGTGCGATGTAAACGCAGGGCCGTGGTACAGCCGGGAGCACCAGCAAACATCTCCACTGGGTTTGGTGTGGCAGAGCAGGCGGGGAGGGCAGGGGGAAGCCCCACGGCTGAGCACATCTGGGCTGCGGTGAAGGTGGCATCCTTGGCTGGACAGTGGGACCGCGAGTGTGCGCTCGGGTTCACAGCGAAACCCCTGCGGCCGGGTCCATTGCTTTTACAACCCCGCGTCTGCTCATCGGCAGAGCTGATGCATTTTGGGTTCTGTGGGGACACACCTGGAGCGTGAGAGCCGACGCCGTTACTGTAAAGTCAGGTATTCGGTGGTGTGTCCCGCCAGCACTGGGAACAGGCAGTGTTCTCCAACTGTGTGTATCGCTTGGGGTATTTGGTTTAGCCCTCCAGTAATTTCTTCCTTCTTTCCTTTCTCTCTCCTCTGCATTTTTCTGTCTCTTCCACAACGTAAAAAACGAACTCCCCACCCCAAACAACCGCAACTCGAACTGCCCGCGCCAACACTGGGGCCCACAGCCGCTCATCGCCGCTGGG